TCTTTAATATTTACAGATTTTATTGCATTTGTTGCATAAAATAACGCCAAGGTTTACTTAATCTTTTCAAATTCATTTCCTTCCTCACTAAAGATTTTGAAGAATTTTAAATTTATTGCAAACTTAAAAGTTGGCTAATTTAGTGGGGACTTCCGGTTGACATTGCGGCAAGACAATCGGGGAAATAGTGGGCTCTGATGAGTCCCGCAAAAACCCTGGCTGCTGAACCGCCGCCGATGGGTCTGCGGACTGAACCTGTCCCGTAGGGACAGGGGAAGAAGAGGGGCGCCTTGGGAGACCGAGAGGAACAGGCAAGTTCCTCAGGGGTCAGAGGGAACCCTGTGAGTCGGCGGCTGCCACAAAGCTGAGGCAACCGGGCAAGAAAAGTGGAGGAAAGCAAAGTAAAACGGAACCTTTTGAAGCCGGGTGAGTGACAACAACCTAGGCTTGTAACAACGTTTGGAGCTATATCAGTAACTAGAAGACCCCTAGCCTAAAACAGTGGCTAAGTAACAAAGGGGCTTTGGAAAAAATTTTTTGAAACTGCAATTTTAAAGAACAAAGACCCAAGAAACAACTAATTTTGGAACAAGAACTAAGAGACTTAATTTAGAGATTTGGTAAAAGGACTAAACACTTTAAAAATCTGAATTGGACTAAGGGGAAAAAAAGCTGATTTGATACTTTTTTAACTAAAAAAAGAAAATAAAGTTGATGGTTATATAATAAGAAATAAAATGGAGTCTTGCATGACTAATGGCAAATGTGGATTATAGAGAGACACCATCTGGCATAAAGAGGAACTTTGTAACCTCCCTTTGTTATGAGAACTTTGAGCTCTACAGAAAAAAAAAATTGCTGAACTATGGAGAAGGATTTTTCTTTCCTGACTGCAAGCAGCTGGACTCGGGTGAAAAGAAAAGGAATTTACAATGGAACTCCTACAGTTGAATAAATACTAACTTGAATGTTGGCGCAGGAATAGAAGAAGGATTTAGCGCAGCCCTAAAAGAAAGAGATTTGATACATTATATCCGGAATAAAACTATGAAAAGAGATCTAATTGGATTTATAGAGAATAAAATTAAAAACTTGGAAAATGGAAATAAATTTACGTTTGCAGACAAGGAAATGAAGATAATGTGATTAAAAATAAAATAAAGTAAAGATGATTGTAATAAATTAAAGGGAGGCTTTTATAGAAATTAAGATTGTTAAATGAAACTAATTAATACATGTAAAGATATGTTTAATGCAAGAAATATGTTTTAATAGTAAAATGTCAAGATAAAGAATAAGGGTGAATATGATTAATTGAAAATGTTAAAAGGAATTTAAAAATATACTTAAAAATATGTTTTAAGCAAGAACCATGTCTCAAGGTTAAAATGTCATGAATGCTATGAAAAAAGATAAAGAAAAATATGATTAAATGAAAAGCAATGCATAGATGGAGGGAAACAACAAAGAAAGATTTAAGTAGAGATTGTTAAACCAACTATGAACATGCTGTATTTAACAGCCAAAAAGTTATAATATGCTATATAGAACAGCCAAACAAATGGTCATGCTGGGTATCAGCCAAAACGAAACTTAATATGCCGTGTAACAGCCAAAAAACAAAAATAGAGATGCTGTATTCAACAGCCAAACAAACCTGAAGATGCCGTGTAATGGCCAAAAAACAAAACTAATACGCTGTGTTCAACAGCCAAACAAAGGGCATGCCGGGTAATGGCCAAAAAATAAAAATATGCTATATTTAATAGCTAAAACAAAGGGCTATGCTGTGATTAACAGTCAAGAAATAGAAAAGATTGGTTTAACATCAAAGATAATAAAAAGAGGTGGGATAATTAAAACGAGGAGGTGTATGTTGAGAGTGATAGTTAAGATAAAATGCATAAATTAGGTTTAATAATAATTAAATAATTAATGACTGTTTAATCTGTTTAATATAATTGTATGATTTATATTGTCAAATATCCATCTAAGCAAATGAAAGAGAAAAATGAATTTTTAACTGGATAGGATTTAATATTTAAGTAACAGGTTTTTGGGGATAATGGCATAGTTAAATAGATAGATTTGAGGGAAATATCTGTTTAAAATATTGAGTTGTGTTAATTGAAAATAAGATTTGTTAATGATTTGTTTTAATTTGTGACCAGAGCAAAAGCTTCGTTTTGAAAAGAAGTGTTTTATTTTATTTTTTTTGTTTTAAAAAAATTTAAAAAAAATATCCCCCCCCCCAAAAGTTGGCTAATTTAGCAAAAGATTTGTTTTCATATTAGACATGGTAAAGAATACTTAAAAAGGGTTAGCATTCAGTTTACATTACAAATAGAAAATTTACTCATCTAAAATATATTTGCTTATGAACTGTGCTTATGGTATTACAGAGATCAATATGGTTTTAAAAAATGAATGTACTTTTTAATTAGATACTACATTTCATTATATGAACAATTATGGATTTGTTTAACATAGGACACTGCAAAAAAAGATTAATATTGGAAAGACTGCGCAACACCAGATTTACAGTTTCTTTTTATGTCTCAATGTAATGAAGAGTGTAATCAATATTATTCCACTTTGTCAAGGTTTAATGATACTTTTAAAAATGAATGGGCTTTCCTTTTTTCCTGTGAATAGATCAGATCCAGTTCTCCACCCTTTAGCTAAATCAGAAGCAAAGCTACAATATCTGGCCTAAATGAAAAGCAGTTGGCCTGCCTTTATTCTGGTTTTTGTTGATCATGCACAGATTTAAATCTGAGCATACTGACTTGAAACTCTGATCCTGATTGTGACTTGTGTTGTATATGTACTACTATAATATCATTGCCATTTGCTAACATTCATTCAGGAACTTTGTTTACTATCTGAAGTGGCTGCTAGGGTTTACTATAGGTATGTTTCAAATCTTGATTTTTAAAATGAATTTTTGGCAAAAGAAAAAAATTTTTTCGGCGTATAAGACGCGCCTACCTTTTCTGGGAAGGAAAACAAGAAAAAAATATCTGCCTTTGCCTCTGCCTCCCAGCAATTTGCCTCCTTGCAACAAACACTCTGTTTCAGTTTCAATTTCATCACAGCCTGATTAGCACAAGAAAAAAAAAAACTGCCTCTGCCTCCCAGCAATTTGCCTCCTTGCAGCAAACAGCCTGTTTCAGTTCAGCACAGCCTGATTAGGACAAGCAGCTGATCGTCAGTTGGATCGGCCTCCCTAAAATCAGCTGTTACAGGCTGCAGGGATTACCATAGCCTATTGCCGCCTCAGCGTGCCCCATTTTCCGGGTGGGCGGGGCCACATCCAGTGTATAAGACGCACCCAAATTTTCACCCTCTTTTAGCGGGGAAAAGTGCATCTTATACTCTGAAAAATACACTACTTTTTATGATTCATTCCAGGCAGTCACTGCCTGCTGCTACTCCCGCCATTGTATGTAGCACTATAACACTTAGACTTATATATTGCTTCACAGTGTTTTACAGCCCTCTCTAAGCGGTTTACAGAGTAATTATATTGCCCCCAACAATCTGGGTCCTCATTTTATCAACCTCAGAAGGATGGAAGGATGAGTCAACCTTGAGCCTGGTGAGATTCGATCTGCCAAACTACTGGCAGCCAGTGATCAGCGGAAGTAGCCTGCAGTACTACACTCTAACCACTGTGCCACCACGGCTCATATGGGTGACTGGAAGACTCAACTTGCAGAAAGAAAAGATGCATATGATTGCAAAATTAACTCTGTTCATTGTCTTTCTTGAAAGATACAAAATCATATTTTAAGGCTTTGATTGACGTGGGAAGGAGAAAATAATTTTGTGCTTTGTTTCTCATCAGCAATCATTACAGGAACTAGGGCTGGAAATAAACTTCCTATTCAGAAGTTGGGTCCTGGTGTATTTTATTGAAAAAAAATGTGCCCACTGAAACAATGGACAGCAGGGGAAAACTGTTGTCCCTCAAATAGAACTTGCTGGTATCTTAGACTGACATTGAAATTAAGCATTAAACCAAATAGCCTAAACTTTTAATGGATAAGAGTTCACTTTATCACAATTGTGGTAAAGATGGAAGAAAGGGTAGACGAGCAGTTACAAATGTCCACCCAAATATTGGATATCACCACTCTCAAGTAGACTGTTTATTGTTACCCTGGGAGAATCTTTCTTTCTTTGTCTCAGCTGTCTTAAAGGAGGCAATGGTTTGATGGCTTCTAAAGAAGCCATCTCTGGGTTCAACCATACTTGATGACTTCTGCCCAATATCCAACCTTCTGTTTTTAGGGAAAGTCTTAGAGAAACTAGTGGGGCATGAGAATTTTTAGGATCTGAGTGCAAAATGCATGATCTGGGCCCCTTTCAGTCATGGTTCAAACATAGGCATGAATCTGAATTTCATTGATCACTCTGGTGGATGATATGCAGTAGTAAACTACAGTACACTCTCTCTGGACTTCTGAGCAGCATTTGAGACCCACATTCTTGGCATCAACTGGACCACTACAAGATTTGGGAAGGATAACATTGAATGCAAATATTGAGAGGGGCGTGGTTCCACTCCTTTCTGAACAGGCAGTTCCAATCAATAATGCTGGAAATGGGAGAGGTGAAATTGGTGACAGAGAGGTCATTTGGGTTTTTTTAAAAAAATCCATATTAAACTTCTATTTAAAACTATTGGGAGACATCAATTCTAGGTATGAGACTAATTGAAGATACAGTTGAGTCCTTAATTCAGTGTCTGAAAGTTGTGAGGGACTGGATAGGAACAAAAAGGCTAAACTTAATCCCAGCAAGATGGAGGTGCTGTTCATCCAAAAGCTTGGGTAATGCTTGGGTCTTCATATGTAGAGGCTAAATATCAATAATGAGACAGGGAAAGCATGGAAGTCCATAGTAGACGTCATGACGTACTCACACAAATCACTGAAAATCATTCGGTAAGGATTTCTATAGTTAACCCTGTATTATTTCAATTTCTTATTCAGGTTATATCTTAAGTGTTGTGCTCCTAACCTTGCCCAGACAACATCTGGTTCAACTCTACCTGTATTTTCTAACTGGACTGCTGCTGTATGCTGGGCATCAGATCTCCAGGTAAGAATAACAGAATTGATTTCCTTACCTGCCTGTTTAATTACATTGATAATTCCTTTATATGGGCATGCCTTCTCGTCTACTAACAAATTATATATGAAGGTGATTTTATTTGAAACAGGTCTGACATTAATTATTAATACTTCGGGACTGAGATCTCCAGCTGTCTATCACCTGGTTCCCAAGATGTAGCCTTGAGGCTGGAAATCAGTTTGGAGCTCTGTCTTCCACTTCAACAGCCCCCCGCCACATCTCCTTACAGTGCTGTGTCTGCCCCACTGTCTTCATAGCAGAGTTGACCAATCTTTCCTTCTCTCCCTTTGCAACTACAAAGGAACTTACATGTACCTCAACCCGCCCAGTAATCCAGACCTGATTCCGGAATAACAACCTTTCACCCCGAGTCCCTTACGTTCAACTGTATAATCATGCATAGTTACTAATTTATATACCTTTCCTATATTGCAATATTACATTCTCTTGCTCCTAATGTCTGGTTAGTTGGGTTTTATCCCCAGACTGTCTTTCACCAGAGACAGGGTCCACCAATCTCCTGCTTCATCTCTCACTTGGGCAGTCCCCAGCAATCACTGATAGAAGACCCAAAGGCATTTTTTAAAAAGGCAACTGGACTTTCTTGGGTTTTTTCCTTGAAAATATTTCACTTCTCATCCAAGAATCTTCTTCCATTCAGTTCTTGGATGAGAAGCAAAACATTTTCAAGAGAAAAAAACCCAAGAAAGTCCAGTTGCCTTTTGAAAAGCACCTTTGGGATAACCATGATCTGGATGATTGAGAATCTCCATGGGTTTACAAAAGAGATTAGTGGCACTTTGTGACAATTGAGGTACCCAGTGAGCTCATCATCACAGTCTGCCTATTTCACACCTGCCATCAAGATCAAAATTGCCAATTCTTCATTCCAAACCACCCAAAGTCCCATAGAATCATAGTTCAGGTCCAAATTCACAGGAAATTGCAATAAGTTTAAATACCAGCCTGATCTCCAGTTTTCTCTAATGATGTGATTCAGAGTGCCTACAAAATATGGGATAGAGGACTGGAAAGATACCATTTCTGTGCTAGTAATTGTTGATTTGTATTACTTTAGAAGTCAGCCATATGGATGATGATTTTAAAGACTGGGAAGTCTGCTGTTAAAAAGCACATCAACTCTGTCTGATCTTATAAATGGGCAGAAACAATAAGAGATAGGTATTCAGGTGGCACGCAGAGCCATATCTGCGGGCATGCAAGCCGTTGCCGTAGCGCAGCTCCAGTGTGCATGGGTGCCGGCCAGCTGATTTTCGTCTGGTCCCGCCCCTCCCCTCCCCTCCCAGGGGTCTCCAAGTGGCCCGTTTTGGATGCCAGGGCTCGCGTGGAGGCTGTGGGATGTTTTCAGCCTCTGGGGGGCGGGGGAACCCGTTTTCGCCTTCCCCAGGCTCCAAGAAAGTCTCTGGAACCTGGGGAGGGCAAAAAACAGGCCTTCTGGGCCCACCGGAAGTTGGGAAATGTACCACTTCAGGCCTCTGGGGGAGTGGGGGAGGCCATTTTCACCCTCCCTAGGCTCCGAAAGCTTCAGGGAGGCCTGCTAGGGCCAAAACGGGGCACAGAGGGATCATGCACGCATGTGCGGAGAGAGTGGGGGGGGGTCGCAAGGGGGCAGGGCACGGGGAGCATTGAATTATGAGTGTGGATGTGTGCACCCGAGGAAAAAAAGGTTCACCATCACTGGTATATACTATAGTATAATATAATATGTTGAACATCAGTCTAGCCCAGTATCAATCCCCAATGTTTAATAGGACTTGGTTGTTATTTGTAGTACTATTAGTTAAAGTATTTATTAAATTATTTTCATAAAATAAACATTTGGTGGTTGATGAACAATCTGAAACTTGATTAAGGGGTCAGTGAACTGAAGTGTTTGGGGATCCACTGATAAAAGTGAGCTTTGGCTAACAGAAGCTTTGGTATGAGGAGATACTCCTAACTCCTGATTCTGGAGTAAAGTCGTTCAGTTGAGTGCCTCATTTTCATATAAAGATAAAGGTAAAGATTCCCCTCACACATATGTGCTAGTCGTTCCCAACTCTAGGGGGCGGTGCTCATCTCCATTTCAAAGCTGAAGAGTCAGTGCTGTCCGAAGATGTCTCCGTGGTCATGTGGCTGGCATGACTAAACGCCAAATGCGCACGGAACGCTGTTACCTTCCCACCAAAGGTGGCCCTTATTTTTCTACTTGCATTTTTTATGTGCTTTCGAACTGCTAGGTTGGCAGAAGCTGGGACAAGTAGCGGGAGCTCACCCCGTTACACGGCACTAGGGATTCAAACTGCTGAACTGCCGACCTTTCGATCAACAAGCTCAGCATCTTAGCCACTAAGCCACCATGTCCTTTTCATTTTCATATAGTCTCTGGGAAATGAACGAGGGTATGGTAGCATAACACTACTAGTCATGCATTCTTTATTTGATTGAAGTGCCGTCAACCTGGTGTTGACTCTTGAGTGACCACACAGGTAGATTCTCTCCAAAATGACCTTCAATGTAGTCTCAAGTGGTGGATCTGTCTTGGCAGTGATATCTTCCTTCTGTTTAGTAGATTACGCATCCTTAAGTATGAATAAAAAGCATGACTATGCCCAATGATTTTGAAATTCATTTCTGGATGTGCTTATCTTTATCTAAATCACTTTTTTCTTTTTTTTTTTACAAAATGGCACATTCCAATCTTAAGGTTAGTCAGTAACATATTGGATACCTAACTGTATTATGCTGATGAAACATGTGCATACATTAGGTTTACTGTTAACATGTATATCTTTGTCCAAGTGATTCTTAACAGAAGTCCAATTAAGTCTATTACTTGACTAATTTTTAATTATAGTTTAGCTTCTACTCTACTGAAAATTCATGCGTATTATTGTTGCAATTGTTATTTGAAAGTGAATTACCTTTTTAAAATGTTCTGAGCATTCCACTTTGGAGCTATAGATCCTTTTGACCACAATGAGTACAATGTATCTTTGTTAATTTGCAGAGATTTTTTCCTCCCCTGCATTAACAAAAAGATGCATAGATGAAGCTTTAAATGCTTCTAAAATTACTCTTTGAGATATAGTGGCTCATGTATGCACTCATTGCTTTATTCTAAACAAGAAATAACCCCAAGCATAATTAAATATCCAAATCGTTCAGTATTGTTACTCCCTGGTTGGTTGTTACACCATAGCAGTTAAAGTGTTGGTTACAACAAATAAAGTACAGTATTATAAATGAGACTGATAAAACAGTAAGATTACATATTCCATCAATGCACTGTAAAAATAAAATTAGCAAAAGTAAAAATAAGACCAGTGAGCCTTGTATAAGAATCAACAAGAATGTATTGGTTTGTTGATCTGTTGATGCGTTCATTCCCAATCTCATTTACTGATCTGGTTGTGGACAGTGGGGGGGCTGTAGTCCTCCATACGTTGAAGATCTGCCACTGATGATTTGGAAAGGGATAAAAACTTGCTGGGAAACCCTGTGGTGGATATAAGACAATGGCCTTGGAGGGGTCCTTTTCCTTAATTAAAGGAGGCAGAGGCTTTCAGCTGAAGTTCTGCAAAGATTGCCTTGGTGTCTGGGAGATAGTATCTGAAGTTCCACATCACGTGGCCTTTAAAAGTAAGCACCCAGGTGACAAACAAAAGAATAGATCTATCAGATGAAGAATAGAATTGAAAAAGACCAAATGTTTATAAGAATTAAACCTCTAGATCAGTGATGGGGAATCTTTTTGAGTGCCGAAAAGGGAGCATGCAGCGTGTGCATGCGGCACCAAGTGCTGAAAAGGGAACACTTCGCGCACATGCTCGTCAGGGCCGTAACCAGGAAGAGAAGCTGGCAATGGGGCATGTGCCCACCGGATAATGTACTTCTGGTTTCCGGCGTGCACATGCGCGCCATCCAGCAAGTCTTCCAGTTTCTGGTGCGCACGCGCTGAGCAGCTGGCCAATGCGCATGCTCATGCCAGAAAACAGAAGATCAGCTGTTCTGGTTTCTGGCACTGCCGCACGCACAGAGGCCAGCTGATCGTCACATGCGCAAAACCCCAGAAGAAGAACAGGCAACGCGCATGGTAGGCGACATGACACCGTGCCACTTCGGGCATGCATGCCATAGATTCACCATCACGGCTCTAGATTAACATAAGCATGTATGAAAATTGGGAAAAATATTTTCTTGGACAATATTTTTATTTCCCCCCCTGATTTTTAGTGGCCACTCTATAAAGCACAGCAGCAATGCATGCCCTCATTTACAAATTGTAAATTACTGTTGTGTCTCTCAGCTTAAGGACAAATAAAGGACTAGTCTCTCACTTCAGCCTTATGAATGACTATGCTCTCTCTTGTTTGCATTAGCAATCATAATCCTTCCATGCCAGGGTTATGAACTTCACTTTCTTTCACTAGGAATGAGAGCTGAATCACACTGTTCATTTTTTTCTTCACTTTTTGCTCAAGGAAAAAGAGTTCGCAGAAAACTGTAATATTATTACAGGAGAGGGAGTTACCAAGTAATGGGGGGAAATGTATACAGTACTTTCCTTACCAGCCTAATACAACTTCCTGGAGCTAATAGGACGGAAAGGAGGGGAAGTGGCATGGAAAAGATTAAGCTGCTTCAGCAGCAAAAAGGCCCTTGAATTGTGTGTAAATGATTGGCAGGAGAGGGGAAGTTTTGAGCCTTCATCCCAAAGGTCCAAAACTGGACTTTCTCGTTTTTCTTTTCACTTCTCATCCAAGAAGGTTCTTCAGCTCTGGCTGGATGTTGGGGAATGGGAGGATTTATATTCCTTGCAGACAGCTGGTCATTTGCATTCTTTCAGAGAGTAGCTGAGGTCATCTGTAGGTCTATCTGTGTCCTCAGGGTCACCTGAATAGTGCAAATGGGTGTGGAGCCTTCTCCATTGTGGGTGGAGACAGCAGCCAGGATGGGTTGTACTC